CAGTATAGGGCGACGCCCTTACCTGCACCGCTTCCTACAGCCCCAAGGAGTTCTCCAGTCACTGCGATCGCCCCGACCACAACGCCACCAACAACAGCACACGGCGTGATGTATTTATCCAGGACCTTAGGGGGGAAATAATACAACGCCTACTATTGAGAGGGACTAGGCTCACTGAGATGACGGTGGAGTCTCTGTAGCCACGCATGGTCATCTGCTGGTCCTTGAGCTGGCGAGCGATGTCTCTAGCACCGGTCCCTGATACCTATAAACGACATGTGGTGGGATAGAACCAGCTACCTTAGCATGTATAGCACAACATTCTACCGACTCGACTGAACCACCACTGCTTACATTGAGCCACATTCTAGAAGCGATACCGCAAGAGATCGGCACCGAGGAGACGAAGATGATCAAGTTGATGGGGTCGGTGAATATCGATACGGTAGATTGAGGCGGTGAGAAGTAGTAGGCCAGGCCGGCAATCTAAGAACGGAGGAATATCCACAACTATAGGGAAGGGGAATCAATGAGAGTACTACCGGTCGGGCGAGCCCAGTGAACTCACTGTATTCCCATTTGCCCAGGAATCCAATGACCTTCATCTCGGGGAACCTGATTAAAGAGAAAATGGTAGTGCCAGGGATCGAACCCGCGACCTACATAGCATAGAGGATCTGGGATAGCAGATAAGCATTGGCCAGACAAGTAGCGTAGATAATGATGGGCATACCACCAGTGTAGAAGAGCTTAATAGGATACATGCCGGCATGAGACCTCGCCTTAACGTGCTTCACGGGGAGCTCCACTCGGAAGACCTGGTCATGACAAAATAGACCTCACGACTCTATCTGTGATGGGAAACTACCTGGAAGTAGTTGACCAAGGCGAAGATGAACACTGTCGCCAAGAGAGTAATAATATTGCCCGCACCGCTACGGAACATAGCCTCCTTGAGGCCACTGATACCATCTCTGTAGGTGAGCTGGAACAAGGCCAGCACCACACCTAATGAGCACCATGCACCAACATCACTACAACTGCTGTGTGCATACCTTCCTTCTCCGGGCCACGACCAACATCGATGGTCTTGAAAGACAGACCACTTGATAAGATCTGTTCACATACGCTCATGGCAATGAACGTGTTAATACCGGTGGCACTGAATTGAAGTTGATGCTATACTGTGAAGGGAACAGCAGTCAATGTGGTACCCAAAGCCATATCCCTTCTGAAGGAGCTCATCCATAGACATCACTGCGATACTTGAGATAACCATCTGCCCCACTAGGAGACCCGCATTGAGACCACCTGAGGTTAAGTCATGGAGAGAGTGCCGCCCTCATGTGCATTACCAATGGCCGAGATAGGGCCGAAGGCACCGGCACCGACAAGGAGAGAAGCTTGGACTAATGCGACGAGGACCACGACGACCTTTTGAGCACCTGAGCAGACGTTGAGAGGTCGCTACAAGGTAGGAGGGTTCACCTTGGAACAAAGCGCGGTCCTCCTTCCTGCTGAGATCCGCTGAGATGAGCCTTGAACCGTAGAGGAACTGCATTATCATACCGGCGGTTAGTATGGGGGCCACACCTGCGAGTCAGAGTCATGTTATACCCGTGATCTATCTCCTACCTAGCTCCCTCAGTGAGCCTTGTTGGCTGCCCATGAGAGTCCTAAGCCAGTAGAAGGGGTCAACAGTGGACCCCTTCCCCATGCCGTATAATCGGATTTCCCCCATCACCATGAACATGAATAAGCAAGTAGCAGTCCATACCATCTGAGAAGTGGAGAGACTCTAGTGATATAACAAGGGCAGAAGGGCTACCCTCTCGTTGAAAGGGATTCTCCTGTCGGGAGTGGTGGTCTCAGGCAGGAGCCGCATAGCGGGCCGGAAAACATCCAAGAACCTCATTGCCGGTGAAAAATAAACTGAGGAGCACAGCAGATCCTACTATGACGAGTTTATCCATCCTTGTACTCTCGTACGTACGCAGCCTCTATTGCGATAGTATCTCATGCGACACTTCAGCTCATGCGGTTATCCAGGATTTCCGACGTAGATATACGATTAAAGCAAAGTCTGACGTTAACGAACGTATTCGAAGTTTAGATACCTAAGATGGGTTAAGCTGAGAGGGTGACGCCCACCGTAATCCCATCATCGAAGGTCACTGGGGACCAGGGAGCCCTTCCACCTTCTGTTGTAGCTAACCGATTACTCAGCTATTTGCTCATTCCCAAACCAAATGTACTATCGAATCGTTCACAGTAGAGTCAGCTGGACACCGTATACGGTCCGAGGGGCCGGAGCCGACCCCTTCAGCAATCTCTCGATTGTTGCTCACAGTCGGCACTGCCCAGCGAAAAATTGCGACTCAAGGGACATGTCGATGATCGAGGGCTTTCAGCAATAGCGTGAAGAATGTTAGAAATCTACGGGCGACAACCAAACGCTAGTAGTAAACGGTCCTGTAGCTCAGTGGTAAGAGCGACGGTCTTATGAGCCGTAGGCCGCGGGTTCGACCCCCGCCGGGACTATATTCTCTCTGAGGTCTAAACTTCATGTTTTTGCTTGTGAAGCTTACCGTGATGTCGGCTTATATCACTTTTTTTGTTTCTTATCCCGCTACAACGACAACGTGCTCTTCTTACCTGCTCAGTGTAGCCTTAATCGTCTGATGGCTGCATCATCATCTTCGTCTGGAGTTCGAAACTCCTTGATCAAAAAGCTGGACAACTTCGAGGCTCAACTCTCGAGTTTAGAGGAGCATCTGAAACCATTGATGGACACCGACTACGAGGAACTGATGTCGAAGATGACACGTAATAGCCGGCACTCAAGGGGAGGGGAAACGCAGCTCGGCTGGCCTGAGAGCATCAGTCCTATAATATGAGAGACATGAAAGTCGACGAATTTTTTTCTCAAAGTGATACTGTGATACTACTTCGAAACTGCCGTCATAACAAACTTTTTCGAGTAGCATTGGGCGTCTCAGAGCTATATCAAGTCTTGTTGATCCTCTCAGCATTGGAGCAGAGCGAGCTGAACGTTTCGCTGGCTTTTACCACGGCCTCGTTGTACTGGATGTTCCTCAAAACTCAAGGCACTGATGTAAAGACACATAAGATCAAGGATGAGATTGTACGATTAGCTGCAGCACTCGTCATTATCACTGTGGCGTCAATGAACTATACGCGGTATATCCTCAGGACCGGGTCAAGTCTTACATGGCGCGAATCAAGAAGGCCTCGGAACAGGAGGATGCGAAGAGTAGTACTATGGGATCGAGGCAGACCATAGGCGCTCAGATTACTTGTCGTTGCTTGTGTCGGGGGGGAAGCAACTCTATGAATGGACGGCTTATTCTTATTAGCTCGCAAACGCGATGTAGTCTTGAACAAGGACGCTGCTGCCCGCATTGTGAAGGCTCACACGACAGAGACAACAGTGCAAAGCAGTAGCAAGCGCAAGGCTGAAGAGGCCAAGCAAGAGAAGGATGAGGAGGAACCCAAGACAACCTCGGGCAAGCAGGCAAAGAGGTGTAAGAAGAGCGCGTGAGTACAATGATGCTGGTCCCCTACGCCTACTAGATCGAGGAATCGCCCGTTACTCTGGATTGGCGTTTTCGATCCAACGTTGGGAAGTGCTGCGTTGAGTCGGTATCAATAACGCTTCCAGCCAGAATTGCTTGATGCCCATGTCTGATTGGAACGGTGATGAATGTGTGAACCCGTCAATGGTACTGGCGACAGTAGGTATGTTAATGGCTGTCATCATGCCGCTATCACGTATGCGGGAGAGCCCATGAGGTACTACAGGCGGGGTATTACCCCAACTCTCTATGACATGTGTCTCTGTTTCAAAGGCTATGCTGGGATCGGAACTCGGCACCCCGAGAGACCGGATGAAGTAAGTCCGTTGTCATATGTACTAGGTTGAAGACGAGACTCTGAGGTCAAGCAGCAAGAGCTCCCGACAGCAAGACCCGCCAGCATGGACTGCTGTGGTAGTGGAAAGAGGCCTGCTCATTACAGAGAGGCAAGAGACCATGACGAGAAGCTTGAAACTGTCTGTTCTCCACGTCTGTGTAGTCTGCACTCGGGAGTCTCTATGATAGACTGCTTGATGCTCTCCTGGTTGACTTATCGGTATTTAGAGTCAACTATCTCTGTATTCGACTGTGAGATGGCATCATGCTCACCGGTGCGATGACTAACCCGACCACGGTAATGGGGCATTTCAATGGTCACTACGCTCCTTCGCAAGACTAGACGCCGACGGCGAGGGATCGCCAAGTAGTGATAGGATGTAGTGCTGACTCTTCGAACATTTGTTGGTCGACTTGGACGCTAATTATCTCCCGACCCACTCCGGCACTATCCCTCTGGGTCAAGCCGGAGCGGCAGCCTGGTTGAGTAGTCAGCCGTCCCTGTTGCCCTACTGAGTCACCTCGAAGGCTGAGGTTCGATTCCCACCGAGGTCATCTGACGGATTGTGTGTGCATTTTTACGTTATCGTCTTCGCGGACACCAGGCTGTTCCCATGTCTTCATCATAGCGCAAGACTGCACTCCCTCTACTTCCTGGCCATTATTGTGTTGCCTCCGTATCTTCATTGTAACTCTACCATGAAATTAATAGCATGACCCTCCATCGTTCTTTTGCCGATAGGTTCAGATTGAGTTGGTATGAACTCAGTCACATCAGGAGTGTGATTTTCGTAGGTGTTATATTTTAACATCTATTATGTATCCGACCCCTGGTATCCTCCCAACAGCCAATAACTTGGGTCAGCAGCCCATGCACGCTGTCCCGGGCAACCTGGCTAAGCCCACCACTAAGGCCGCGCAGGATGCCTCTATGGAGAAGAGCTATACTCGGTAGGACCATCTTAGCCGCCCTCGTACTTGGGGTGACCTCTCCTCTCAGAGTTTGGGTTGGAGGCCTCCCTCGGAACACGTCCGTCGAGAACGTGAAAGAAGAACTGCAACGTATTTTCTCCCAGTATGGTCAGGTCTCGGACATATGTGTGATCACCACTGCTAGAGATGTAGCCTCTCTCTTCTTCGGCTCTTCACTGTGGCTCATGGTCCTCTGGTGTCCTTAGGTGATGGCCTTCATTCAGTACGGAGTCGAATCGGATGCCTCTAGGGCTCAGGATGAGATCAATGGCACGTACATCCTAGGGTCGCGTGTGAAGGTGATGATGAAGGCGTAGTGTTGTCGGAATTATGACCGACAAACAACCATCAGGTCAACTACGCTGTTATCCGTGGGTCGGCAGGGGCTCCTCAAGGGCCGGGGGCTATACAGCAAGAAAAGGATGCGAAGAGGAAGCGACGCCGGTGAGGTCCTCTGCCAGGAGTCCGGCTCCTGGGCCTTCTCCTATATCAGAGGATGGAGAGGAAGTGTTGTTATTATTCAGAATACCTCGGGAAGGCTCCGTCTTTGAGGTTATCGTAGTGGGCTTTCCGCAGGACATTACTGAGGATGAGTTGACGAGGATTGGAGAGCAGTACCAAAGTAAGCAGTAAGGGCCAGTCGGCTCCTGTATTCATCGTGTCGATCCTGGGATGTTGTCACTTTCGTTCAGGTCGCGATATTGAGAGTCTTCAGCTTGTGTCGAAGTGGACTGATGGAGACGACAAGAAGTACATCGTTTTATCTATGTCTCCGGGTTAACCTATATTACAGGAACGACCAGTCGACAAAGTCGTCCTCCTCTACATGCTTCTGCCTCCTATCCTATTCTGTACGCCGTGATGCAGTACGATGTCGCCGAGAGCTGGATGGTGCCTATTTCGAGGGCGGTGACAGCAACAAGAAGGATCGATATAGGTGGGTACCGCTATTGGTCTTTGCCGTTTCACAAAGCCTCTTGTGTCAGACTGTCCGCCTATACTCTACGCCAATACAATGCCAAATACGCCGATAAGGATCGTGCTCGATCACGTAGTCGAGAGAGGTGAGGATCCTCGCACTATCTCTCATTGATTGGCTCTGTTTCAGCTCTGCCAGTCGGGAGTCTGAGGGGTCACGGAGTAGAAGTCGGAGTCGACAACATAGACGGGGTCGAGGAGGGCGATATTGAACATTGTTTTCACCTTGTGTTTTGCTTCTGCTTGTGTTGAGTGCTGGGGTCTTCGTAGGGAAACCCACACGGTGTCCCTCGAATTGATGTACCTTGTTGACATCTTCAGTCACGAGTGGGATATGTCGGTTGAGAAAGTCTTATGGAATAGCTTCCAGTCAGTGGATCAATGTCATCAGTTAAAGTGTCAGGCGACGCACCGTCGACGATGACCCCACCCCTCCGTATGAGAGGTGAGAAGTCTAAAACCCTCCCACGAGGTCTGCTGTTCATATGTTGTTACCTCACTGGCAAGATATTCCATGTGGCCTTCTCCTTTATACCGACACTACTTACTCGACTGGTCCCTCGTGCCGACTCCTTCCTCGCTATTGGTATGCTATACGTCTTCATTCAGGCTATGGGCATGCTCGGTGGGTTGGTCGTCCTCGCCTTATCTGGTATTGTAACCCAGTTTATAGTTTGGTTCAATTACGTATTCACTGGCAACACGGTTACTTGGTATAACCTCTTTGCATCGACTACAACATGCTACGTCTTCTATGCGACAATCCGATGCTCCTGGTTCCTCGGTCTGAGTCTTTGGGAGATAGGTTGGCAGTCCTATGCTGAGTACCCCACTCTGAGAGACCTCCTTGCTCCACCAGCTTCGCTTGAGTACTCACCAGAAGACAGCAAAAAACTTGTTGGGTCTGACTTGGCTCAAGCATCGCCACCGCTTTCGCCACGGAGATCTTTGTCGGTGCCCGGTAGGACGGTGCCTCGCCGCATCGATCGACAAGCTAAGATGGTGCTCTTCGGGCCTATCATGGTGCTAGTTGTTGCTACAGCAATTGTAACTATCATCCCACTCCTGTGTGATCTGGGTATTTGGTGTCTTCGTGTTGATTGGTTGCAAGGCTTGGCTGATGCCTCTAGTCGGCTCAACCGAATGTGTCGATTCTCTTTGCTTGTCGGCCTCTTCCAATGGACGCAACAATTCCAGTTTATATTCCCCCGTTGGTACCGGGCCGCTGGTGTTGGTGCAGCTAAGAGTTGGAGATCCACGTTGATCATGTGGGCTGGCTACTGCATCCTTGGTCCAGTGTCGGTCATACGATTGCTGCAATGGTCACTCTACCCCCTCTTCGGCCTCGACGCTGCTGGAAGGACTTCTGTTTATAACTTCATTGTACCCCAACTGGTCAATGAAGGCGTATCGGCTTCGACCATGGACGGCATCCTGATACTACTGTGGATGCTACAGCTACTTTACGCCTCTCATATAGTCGTTAAAGAGATCAATCTTTCAGACTGGCAAAAAGATGCTTTCTATGATGACTCTATGTGGCTCGAGAACACTATACAGTTCAAGTGTATGTTTCTCGTGCCCATGTTGCTGCTCTTCTTCCGTGGCTTTGCCAGTCCCGATATGGGATTTACCTATGCTCAGAACGATCTCATAGTCCTTACATTAATTTACCCTGCACTCCTGGTCCTAGTATGGTGGTGTACTTAC